TTTGGGAGGAAGATTATATATATATATAATTTGAAGTAAAAAAACAGAGGGAATCGGAGATAAACCGCGAAAGAGGGGAGGCCAACGCGTGCACACACGCATACGCTTACACATACACATATATCATATCAGCATACGAGTGGGAGAAAGAGTAAGAGAGAGAGAGATGTTCTTCCTGGAGGTGGGGGAGGCCATATACATATACCTACCCATATCCTGCAACAACACAAAGCGGCCATTGCAGGGTGGGTGCGGTCCCGGGCTGGCCAATCAGCGCCGCAGGCCTCCACTCGTGCAGCCAATCAGCGCCATCTGCTGATCTCCTCTCCCGCTCGCTCTCTCGTTCTCTCCTACTCAGCAGCCGTCTTTTGTTTCGTCGCGCCAGTGCCTCGTTATCCCGTTTTCTCTCCCTCCCACCGCCAGCGTATACATACACAAGGGAGGGAGAAACATACTTGTACGTATATACATACACAGACACACGCGTGTATAAGCTCGCGTGCATAGTAATGATATGAGGGGAAGCTCGCGCGATTCGCAGACGTGACGCACATCAGGAGAGGGACGTACGCGTACATAGACGCATGACAGTGCATATTTTTTTACGAAGGGGAGGGTACGTGGATTTGAGCCCCCTCTCCCGGTCCCACTTGGCTGGAGGAGTTAGTTATAAGCGTACGTGTATATTTGGGCATGGATGGATGTGCGCGAGGGCCGCCCAACCCTCTTTTCCCGTGTACATTATGCGGGCGAGATGTTTCCCGGGGAATTTTCCTCCCCTGCTCCTCTCTCTCTCTCTCTTTTATGCAATTTATTTTTCTTTCGCGTGAGTAACTCACCACCGTCTTTCTCCTTTTCTCTTTTCACCCCAAGGGGAGGGTCGAAGGACCCTCTTTTTATTGTTTTCTTTTTTTCTCATATCTAATTGTCCCCTCTCCGTCATAGGCCGAGGGCTCCGCGGATTCCTCAATTTCCTCCCTCGTCGCTACTACTGGCTAAGATTTTTCAACCCTTGCGAGGGCGCGTTTAGAACCTCTTTTGTCTCTCCACGGGTGATTAACTCTCCTATGGTTTCTTTCTTCCTTTGCCTCCATTCTCGTGGCGCCCGAAGGACTTCTACACAAGGCACGCGCCCTCAAATTGAGGGCTCGGTGCTCGTGGTTTCATAGAAATATATATCGTTTACCGCCGCGTGGCGTGGAATTTTTCTCCCTTCGTTCCTTATTTCTTTTTTTTCTTTTTTTAATGGAATCGCTTCAAATTAACTCGAATCCGGACTCGACGGGGAGGGGCGGACGGATTTTTATAATGGGCTTTTCTCGAGGGGGCTCCTTGTGATTGAATCGCAAGATCCTCGGAACTCGTCCCCCCCCCCCTTATTTTGCCCGCGACGTTTCTCGATATTTTTCAGATAATTTTTCGCCCGAAACTGACGGCAGACCCTCGGATGGCAATTGCTTATTTGCGAGACTTTCACAGAGTTTACTCGAGGACTGGCGCATTTTTAAGACAGTCGACCTCGCGAGTGCACTGGGACACTCGCAAAAGAAAAAGGGCACACTTTTGTTTCCCAAAACATCCGGCCAGACGACACTCGGGAAAAAGTAGCCGTGCACTTGGCTACATCGTGCAACACTTCTTGAAAACTCGGAAACTTGGCGCAAGAAAGAAGCAGGAGAACCTCGAGAGACACCAGTGAAAGAAATCTCTTTGTGTCTCATTGAAACTCCCCAAAACACCGCTTACACCCTGTAAAACTCTCCTTTGATGTCCGTATTAGAGATATATTTTTCAAGCCCAAGAGGAAAAAAAAAAAACACGTAGAAATCCGCTTTCATTCCACCCCTTGGTGTACACACACGCCATAGTCTCCCGGTTAATCGAATTAAAATCCCACACTCCACGCGAAAATCGTTGAATGCAGATTTCCACCCACCTCGGAGCGCGTCCCGGTGCACAATCGCATTTACAAGGCCTTCGATTAACAAACCCGAGGCGCGAAGAAAAGCTACCGGGACAGAAAGAACGACCCGCCGGGGGGTTAATCGAAACGTCTCTCGCAGACTTCCGCCCACCGTTGCGCGTATTCTTCAGGGTCAGCGAGGCCTTTGCACCCCCACCCCCCTCTTTGCGACGTATTCACACCTCCGTATCGAAGGAAAAAAAAAAAAGGGAACGCAGTGAGAAAAGGGGTGAGGGCACGCCCTTTTTCCCCCCTTTACGGATCGAAATGATCGGATACACGTATATACCTATGAGCGACTGAATGGATTGCCGTTGGCCGAGGGTAACACACGCACGCGAAACAAGCGGTTTTAATTTCGGTCTTGACAGCACCACTGCTCTGAACTACATCCGGAGTCCTTTGGCTTGTTCTCGGTGCTAATAGTCCGTAGTTTTGTGAGCGCCTGGCTTTGTATATACACACGCGGGGACGGAGGGATTTCCTTCTTCTTGCGGAGGAATTGGCACGAGGAGCGTGACGATAAGGTGAGAGGGTGCGTATCACGGGCGCAAGTGGAAAATTTACATGGGACTGAAAAGGGACGGGGTAAGAGGAGGTGATGGGATCTCCCGTGGGTGTATTAGCGTGAGATCTCGAGAGGAGAACGATGATGCGATGATAGAGAGCCGAGTATTGTGCGCGTAGTGCGGAGGTTTCAGGGTCGTCGGACTTATATCTTTTCGCGTGGGATACGGCTTTTTTGAGAAGCTTTTTTTTTTTTAAGTGAGTTGCCGTTGAAAAAAGATGGTGATGGTGCGCAGTACAACATATTTATGTCTACGGATGTGTCAGTTGGCTGGACGGTAATGAGATTCGCGGCTCTGGCCCCTTTTTGCCCTGTCAAACTCTTTATTCCTCTATGATTACCAGGGTAGATATGCTCGGAGGCTCAGATTAACGGGGCTCGACGTATTACGCAGGGTTTGGGAGGAAGATTGATGGAATCTTGATCGAGTCGTGCGTTTTTATCCAGTTTCGGGTGATTAGCAGTTTTGAGAGGCCATGGTTGTAATGTAGGAGGAATTAATTGCTGGGTGGGTGATTTTAAAAGAAAATTATAGAATTTTTACTTTGGTGCGCATTTACTTTGTTTCTCCTTTGTGAATGTGGAAGTAGTACACAACGTTTGTCGAATCGTGACTTGAAGACCCACTAAGATTTACTCAATAAATAAAAGTAAAAATCCTTTGTCGATGTGGACTTTTGCCAATTATTTTTCAACATTG